GAGGATTGATCACATCCTTGGAGAAGAGGCAGCTGAAAAGGTTGGTCCTTTGCTTCTAGACCTTGTCTGGAGTAAAATCTTGCCTACATCTGCCCTGATCTTTGACTTGCGCTACACTGGCAGTGGGGAAGTCACTGGGATCCCCTACATTGTGTCTTACTTCACCGAAGCTGAGCCTCTGATTCACATCGACAGCATTTATGACCGTCCCTCGAACACCACCACTCCATTTTTTACTATGCCGGATCTGCTTGGGCAGAGATATGGTGCAACTAAATCCATCATTGTCCTAACCAGCAAAAACACCAAGGGCATTGCCGAAGATGTTGCCTACTGTCTTCAGAATCTGAAAAGGGCCACCATTGTTGGTGAGAAGACAGCGGGAGGCTCGGTGAAAACTGATAAATTTAAAGCTGGTGATTCTGACTTCTATGTCACTGTACCAACTGCTAAGTCTATCAACCCCATTACTGGCTCCACTTGGGAGGTCACAGGTGTCACCCCAGATGTGGAGGTAAATGCTGAGGATGCCCTTGCTACCGCTATCAAGATCATCAACCTCCGTGCCCAAGTTCCAGCAATCATTGAGGGATCAGCAACCCTGATCGCTGACAACTATGCCTTTGAAAATATTGGGTCAGATGTTGCAGCAAAGCTCAAAGAGCAGCTGGAAAGTGGCACGTACAATATGGTTGTCTCCAAGCAGAGTTTGGAATCGAAGTTGTCTGCTGATCTGCAGACCCTTTCTGGGGACAAGAGCCTGAAGACCACCAGCAACACTCCAGCCCTACCACCTATGGTAAGACACTCAGACTTGAGGTTGTTATTTTGTTTCAGTTTGATGGACAAAAGGTCCTGTTAAGCAAATGAACTGGTGAGCTATTTAAAATATAATGCAAAATATTGGTCACAATTATGATACATGTTAAGTTGGTGCCTGTTGATTTCCACAGGATTATACCCCAGAAATGTACATTGAACTGATCAAAGTCTCCTTCCATACTGACGTATTTGAAAACAACATCGGCTATCTGCGTTTTGACATGTTTGGAGACTTTGAGGAGGTGAAGCCTATTGCCCAAGTTATTGTTGAACATGTCTGGAACAAAGTTCTCAACACTAATGCTTTGATCGTTGACCTCAGGTGAGTAATATTACTCGACATGACAGTCCAAGTTTCTATTAAAAACGTTCCTTGTGTCTACATCAGTCATTAAAGCTGCTATAGCTCAACAGTCTAGCTCTTAATAAAGTGCATTTGATCATTATTGAAGAATGTAGAATGCTTTTTCCTCAAATCGTCAGGTTGATGTCCAGAGATAGCCTAATGTGGGTTGACATCCATCAATAAAAAGAAATCACAAATGACCATTAAATTTAACTAAGAATCAAACCTTTCCATGAATGAATTTGCAGGAACAATCTCGGGGGGCCAACAACAGCTATCGCAGGCTTCTGTTCCTACTTTTTTGACGCGGACAAGCAGATTGTGTTGGACAAGCTTTACGACAGATCATCTGGAACCATCACAGAGCTCCAAACTCTGCAGGAACTCACCGGTAGTTAAAAAAAAATCCAGTCTGTGTATTTTTTTGAATATGTGCAATAGATTTCAGTAGAAGACAGATGTTTCAATAAGAATCTGGTAAAGATTCAAAACCAGAGCTGAAACGAGACGTTCATCTGGTATCCAGAAACTTGTCTCCAAATTGTTCCCATTGCTTCATATATATATATTATTTATATATTCATTTATTTATACATATATTTATATTTGCAAGTCTGATGAAACAGTGATACGCAGATTTATGAACAGACAAAAAGGCACCTTTGCTTTTTAATACGAACAGACCAGCTGGCCCTGTGCTGGAGGTTGTAATGCTTTCTGAATTTAATACCAGTCTTTCAAAGTTATCTGCAGGGCAGCTGTGGTTAGAATATATCAAACTATTTTCTCATCTGTACCCTCACCTGGAACCCCACAATATAATCCAGCCTCTCTGGCATACAGTTATCCATATCCCTTTTCTACCAGCTTGTTATCATGCTCAAACTTAATCCTTTCCATTATTCAGAAATAACTTACTTCCCTTGTTTACTTGACTTTCAGCCATATCTCTATCTACCTTTCTCCTATTCAGGTGTACGGTATGGCTCCAAGAAAAGCGTAATCATCCTGACCAGTGGAGCTACTGCTGGTGCTGCAGAAGAGTTTGTTTACATCATGAAGAAGCTAGGCCGCGCCATGATCATTGGCGAAACTACAGCTGGGGCGTCCCACCCACCCAAGACCTTCCAGGTCGGCGAGACCGATATCTTCCTCAGCATCCCCACTGTTCACTCCGACAATTCTGCAGGGCCAGCCTGGGAGGGAGCCGGCATTGCACCTCACATTCCCGTCCCAGCTGATGCTGCCCTCGACACCGCCAAAGGCATATTCAACAAGCACCTCGCAGTTAAAGAAACCAAGTCCTGAACAAAGTCATGGGGGACACAATCACCTCTTTGTTTTGGCAGCCAAATAATCTCAAGAGTCTAGACTTGTTTAAGAAGTGAACAACGTAGGTTTTATGTAAAAAATAAAGTATAATCTGTTGCTCATAACTAAGCCTTTTTAGTCTGTTCTTAAAGTAGAGGAAAGTTTTCTGTAGTTTTCATTTCTGTCAAATATTACTGTGCTGAGGTGGTTGAGAATGAATGGCTCTCAAAAGCCTATGCAGTTCTTTGTGAAGTTAGTGTTTGTCAAAGACGTCTGGAAAAAACATCAACAAAACTTTGCAAAATTATAATTAGGAGCTCTGTATAATAATCAATTTGTTACTCTGATGAAGAAACCATCACATGTGATGTTCTTACTGTGGATACAACATGCATCGTTTTTCCACTATGTAGTGAACTTCGTGCCATGTGAACATTTCTGGGTTTTAACAGACACAATAAAAAACAAACTGAAACATATGACAGAGAGTGCCGTGCTCATTTTTTTAAAGCATGACATAAGATAAAATGTTTTTGCATCACTACAAAAGTTGTTTCATTATTTTAACAGTATATTTGGTTTATTTTTGTATAAAATGCAAGATTTACAGATTAAGGGAGAAAGAAGACTTTACTTGATGTGCAGATGGTGTTCAGTAGGTAGAGTGGTGGCTCCATGATCGGAAGGTCGGGGGTTCGAATCCAGTGAACGGCTACCCCGAGGTACCCCTGAGCAAGGTACCGTCCCTACACACTGCTCCCGGGCGCTTGATTGGTGGCTGCCCACTGCTTCACTGAGTGAATGGGTTAACTGCAGAGAGGAATTTCCCCACGGGGATCAATAAAGTATACATTACATGATGTTTAGCTCTGCAGACCAATGCACATTTAGTTTAAGGGATGATGTGCAGTTTTTCAGATGGTGTGTTTTTTTTCTTCAGTGATATTTCAGTTGGGAAGATTACACCATGTTATGTGAGAAACTGAAGAACTATGTTTGCCTTGGATAGATAAGTGAGCACATGTTTTGAGCCTGGGGCCACGGGATTAATGGAAAAAAGGGAGAGTGTCCAAGTGATGCAACAAGGCTGCTGTTTACTTTTCAGGAATCTATTTTTCTGCCTGGTTTTTGTACAAGTGACAGCATAATAGATCACAGCAAATATGGCTTTGGAAGAGGAAATATGAAAAGAGCCAGAAAACTAGGACTTTTTTCCTGGCAATTACTACAAAAATCAGTGTAGAAAGTAAGCTGAAAGAACAAAACAACTAGATTAGATTTTGTCGGATTTTGTTAGCTGCACTCAGCCTGAGCTGTCCTTCTGATGTACTCATTTCGAACTCTGTCCATTCTGGTCATTCTTAGCATCTCCAGCTTGGCCTCCTGTGTTTTGGACAGTACCACCATCATCAAACCAGACATCATAGCAGGTGTACCATCCATCTTGTAAATCTTGCCGTCCACTCTTACTGCTATCCTCCTGTCGCAAATCACTCCTGACACTTGTTTTGACCCACTGCACCCTGCCTGCATGCTCTTCTTCACTTCTCTCATGCACTGTCAGTTGATTTGGATAGTTGATCCCAGGTATTTCCACTCATCTACCTTCACTAACTCTACTCCTTTCAGCTTCACAGTTACATCTCTCTTCCCGTTTTCTGTCCTGTTTCTATTAACTGCCATTTCTCATTTCTTTCAGATGTTATTTGTTCAAGATGTTATCAGGGTAGAAGCTGATTTTGTCAGTCTTTCCTGGCATACACTTTTGTGTGTCAAAAACCCTTTGGTCATATTGGTATTTTGGAGCAACAAATGACCATATTTGATCATAGAGTGAATGATTACCTATTAACTAATGAAAGCTCAGATGACAAGATGCATTCAAGCTCCAAAACTCAAAGAAAAGCTAAACAGGTTATTTATTCAAAACAAACCAAACCAAAGCAAAACACACATTTAAAAATAGGACGCCATAATTTCTAATTAAGTCATCATTTAAGTGTATTCATGACTGTTCAAAATAATCGTACACCTATTTCTAAAAACATATTTTAGAAGAAAGAGATTACCTCATGTGATTGATGTATGGCAGCACTCACACTTCATGTGAGGGTTAGCTTTACCCTTTAAATGTGCCCTTCACCATATCTGCCACACTCATTACAGTCTTTGCTTCACCGAGTTGTAATTACAGTGGATATTGCTGCTTATAGTTAACCATCAGCAGCATACTGAAAGTAAACGAACAAATGAGGACAAAGTGCTAAAATGCTAGGCTCGATAAATAAACGCGCTGGTGTGGCTTGAGGACGCAGTGCCACAGTGAAGTTCATATACCTTGTGTAATTGTAATGATATAAATTGTTGTCACCCATGCGCCGGTCTGCCACGTGAGGGAGGCGCAAAATGGGATCTTGAGCCATTTTTTTCTTCTTTTTTTTTCTTTTTGCCTCCCTTCCTCTCTCCTCCTCAAGATGAAATTTGAAACCTGGGCCATTTCAGCCAAGTCTGTCCCCCGGGCTCTCAGTTCCTCCGGCTTCAAACACAGCTCTGCATCACCCAGCTCCATTTGGCTTCTTTAGAACTAAATCACTTTTGACACACTGACAGGAAAATATTATCCGTTTTTACGAACCACCCATTCAATTAACTTTTTATTTTTTGCAGGTTTTTTTTCTTTTCTCGTTCTTTTTTTTGCCTGTCAGTTGCATGTGGATTCAAAACTATCCGAAAAAGAGCCTGAAGACCACCAGCATTAAAAAAAAAAACCTCTCTGAGTCAAAACACTTCTCCTGCTGCAATCAGGCCGGGATGCGGGTGGTCCTGATTGTACACTGATCTCAAAATAGTTGAATCATCACCGGCATCCTTTCTTTTGTCTCGGTAGCATCCCTGTCTCTCCACTCATATTGTTTGTGGGATGTAAAGACCCGCTGAAGTACTTTGGCTTGTTTTGGCATTTTTTTCCCTCTCCATAAAGGAATTACGCTGTTTCGCCGGGAGGAGAGATTATGGCAAGATTTTTGTTGAACATAAGTCTCGTTTTGGTTTTGTTCGGATTATTTTTGCTCTCTTTTCCATCTTCAAGAGCCGAGCCGGGGCTGCTGGATGAAGAGGAGGAGGAGAGCTCCTGCCAGGGTGCTTTTGACCTGTACTTCGTGCTTGATAAGTAAGTGGAGGTTGTTAGCAATACACCACAAATAAGCTAACTTTTTGTTGTTGTCAGAGGTTTTTTATTATTATTATTATATTTTTCTTTTGAAGCATGTCATTCTCAAAGTGTGAACAAACTAGCCGCCGCTGTTTTAAGGAAAGGGGAATGATAGAAAAGTTTAACTTTTGACATAAAAAAAAAAGACTGAAAAAAGAAAAAAAAAAAGTCGGGCTCGAGAGCTTGCAGCCGATTAGCATCTGCGCGTGTGTGCGCGCGCGCGCGATGACGTTGGAGAGGAGGCTGACTGTCAGAGTTCAGGCTGCTGAATAAGCGAAAACACCGAGTGGGGTTTTGGAAGCAAATCCCGCGATATATGTTGGCTTAAATTGTTTAACCCTCGTCTTCTATATCTGGCAATTCGTTTTTATAAAGAAATACAACTTTTTAAGCAGTTTCCTTTATTCCCATCCATTCCGAAGGGATTTTTTTTAATGTGACTGCTCACCGTTAGCTCTTTCATTTCCACTCTGTACGCCCACATAGGAAAAATGTTGTGGTTAAGTGACATCTTTGAACTGGACTTCAACAGCTGGAGAGAAAATAAAATGTCAGAGAAACTTCTGGAGTGCCTGCCCTCTCTCCTGCTCGCTATTTTCTAACATGTCATTTTTTCTGCATTTACTTTGAAGACATGAACATGACTGTGATTCAGTTATATTCAGTTTATTTTAGAGCACAAATGGTACAAATGTTGTGGAGAATCTGTTTAAAGCAGTGATGCTGCTCTCATGTTTTGACTGCCAGCAGTTATCTTGAGATAATCTTACTATGATTAAAAAACATTTAACCAGCACCTACAATCTAATTTGCGAACATGAACCAGTGCCAGAAATGGGAGGGGAAAGAAGAGGAGACAGGAAACAACAACATTTATGAATAATGTGGTATTAATTTGGTGAAGGAAATGTTGCACACAGCACCTTTTTTTTTTTTTTTTTTGGTGGGGAGGGGGTGCTTCATGGGGTATTTAAAGCATCTCCGTAGCCATTGGCTTTTTCCAGAGGGGAAAAAAAGACTCCATATGTAAAGACGGTAAAAGGGTCTTCCTATGTCCATTGAAGTTTACAGAATCTTAGTAAGGCTTAGTTTTTTCCTGGAACTCAGTCCCAAGAAAACACATGCAAAGACACACACATACACACACACGCAAAACACAGGACTGCTTCCCAGATGTGGACGGCTGTGTTCGTCTTGTGCTGTGAGGTAAACACTGACACATGCTGCAAATAAAGAATCTGCTCATGTTTTCTGTGTGTCTGATGCTATTGTTAGCACTCTTGCGTGCTGCGGTGCCCACTCCAAGGTTGACTAACAAGTCATCATTTGCGGACTTCAAACGAGAGGAAGCTCATTAGAGACCGGTGTCGGCCTCCTACAGCCGTCGCTCACCACCGATCCCTGAGGCCTCAGCTGGCTTTATGAGACACAGTCTCAACCCTGTGCCCTGGTTTATCTTAATGAAAGGTGAAATCATTTAGCTTATTAATACATAAGCGCTGTAGTCATTCTCGTTTTTTTAAATATGTGAGGCAACACTGGGTGCAAAGTTGTGTGTTTCATTCTTTTCGAAGTGTTAAGTTGCTTTATAGTAAGATCAAGCCAGATTCACAGATTTCAACTCTGTTGTTTTTCACTTTTTAAAGATCAGTTTTAAAGCTTAAAGCTGTGCTAGTGGAGCTCTGAGGCTCTAGTTAAGCAGAGCCATACTTTGAGTTAAATCCTCACAAAGACATTGCTAACATGTTGGTGTTTAGCAAGTAAATATTAGTGTTTATACCCTAAACACAGTACAGTTTAGGTTCTTCTGTTTCAGTCCTCACCATCGTGATGGACAGACTAACCACCTGATCGATCGACTGCAGATCAAATTGGTAGTTTGTAGAAAATTCGATGGATCAGTTTAAATGTAGAAAAAGGGATTCATGCTGTAAGTGGAGTTTATTGCAGCCTTGAGCATATGATGTCATGTGATGGCTCAAAGTTGTGAGACGCTACTTGTTTAGACATCTGGGTAGCTGCACTCTGATGACAAGGTGGCTAATGGCTGCATGGCAGTCTGCTGAATTTGAAACATCTGGGACAGTGTTTGGAAAAAGTGGTTGCCGTAGCAATATACGTTATTTTAAAATGGTATGTGCCGTGAAGATCTGAATGTGAAATTCTCTAGGAGCGTCCAGTCACAGCCTGAAATCCAGTAAATATAGATGTTGGGTCTCATTTTAAGCCCCCAAACCACACACATCTAAGTTCTACTTTAATACACAGGCCATTACATCTAATATAATACAGATGGTTGTGTAAATGGATGCCTTCCAACACATATGGTGGTAAGATTTACAGTATACATATGTAGAAAAAAAAGGGTGTCCAGATAAAATGTTATGAAAGAAGAGTTTTCGCTGACAAAAACTAAAAATTGTGTTAGTAAATAAAAGTTATTAAAAAGGGTTTTAGGCACAGTAACCATCCATAGTTAATAATGTGACATCATATCCCTTTGTTGTGGTGTATTGTTTATGGTCCTCAAGTTAACACAGAAACAAGACTAAGAAGTGTACGAGCAGCTCTGCGAGGCTGTGCTGTAAGCATGCTGACATGCTGCCAAAACGCAACATGTTTTTATCAGCTATTAGCAAAAAAAAGAAGAAGTTTAGTGAAATAAAGGTCAGCGATATGGCATCATCAAACTCGTGCTAATTCCACAGAAGTCAGTGTATTAATCTTCGTTCGTCTCTATACTGGGCCCCTGGCTGTGGACAGCCAACCCTGGGCTGTTCGTGGCACAGTCATTTTCAAAGTAAACTGCGCATGCACACTACCAGTCAAAAGTTTGGGCACACCTTCTCATTTTATGGTTTTTCTTTATTTTCATGACTATTTACATTGCAGATTCTCACTGAAGGCATCAAAACTATGAATGAACACATATGGAATTATGTAGTAAACAGAAAAGTGAAATAACCCAAAATATGTTCTATATTTTAGAATCTTCAAAGTAGCCACCCTCTTTGCAAACTCTTGGCATTCCCTTGATGAACTTCATGAGGTCGTCACCTTAAATGGTTTTCCAACAGTCTTCAAGAGTTCCCAGAGATGCTGAGCACTTGTTGGTGCTTTTGCCTTCACTCTGCGGTCCATCTCATCCCAAACCATCTCGATTGGGTTTAGGTCAGGTGACTCTGGAGGCCAGGCCACCTGGCACAGCACTCCAGGACTCTCCTTCTTGGTCAAATAGCCCTTAAACTGCCTTGGATAATAATAAAGGATTTAGATTTAGGCTTTTGAATAGCAATAAATCTCAAATCTCAAGACCAATACTAACATGCCCTGACCTACAGGCTTAGGCGTGCAAACTAAACTAAACCAGCCAACAGATGATGTCCCGACTTTCCAAACAGGACGTTATGAATTTATCATTTAAGTTAGCTTGGTGCGCTGTGCATGATGTTCCTAAAATCATGAAGCCTTTTAACCTCTGTGATAATATGTTGCATATCTTTAAGTCCTATATAGCTGCGGGTTTGCATACTTTTTGCATTTGCTGATTCAGACCGGGTGGGACGCAGCTTGCTGTTTTATATGGAACACATTGCCTGAGGAATGGTTTTGGGTGTGTTCATAGCAGATAAAGGAATTCACATATAGGGTACATGTTAATGTTCAACCTCAAAATGAAGTTTGCATTTCTTTTGATGGGTGGGTGCAGATTCAAATATGGTAAATCAACAGTATCCGGTGATTGAATTTATGCAAAAATGCATTACAACAGTGTTATGCAGTACTAGTCCTTTTTTCCACATCCTCTTTCCATTTTACAGTATTACTTTTATTGACTACAGATGGGGAAACACATTATTCAGTTTATTAATTGTGTTAAAAAATAACAGTTTATCTGTTATTTTCTCATCAAGTCTTGTCTTTGTTTTTGCAAAATGTTTCTCTTGTCTTTTAATGTAGTCACAAGTTAGCGCTCCGGCTGGGCGTTGGGTCATGCTTCCGGAATCCAGACGAGTCAGTGGAAAACCTTAAGTGCAGCTGCAGTCTGTGAATACATTTCAAATGTCTGAATACGTTCTCGCTGTGGAATGACACCCACTCTGTGTTTTGCTGTCTGGGGCTTTTTACAAAATGTTGCTGTGACGTTTACAGCAAGGACAAATGCCTGTTGACATGATATTGTGTTATCTGTCATTCAAGAATTTGGGTTGCAAAAACAAGACTGGGGGAATAAAAAGTAGATATACTGTATCTCATTCTAGCTCTAATATTTGATGCAGAAAGAAGAGCATGCTTTGAAGAATACATAAGCTTGTTACTTAGTATCAAACCTAACGATTCCTCTCGGTTTTGGAATAGACACGCAGCGTTAGCTCAGCAATCACGCAGTAAAGACTCTGACTTCTGCAGTGGCTGTAAAAGTAGGTTAGTGGTTTTAAACAAACAAATCCTTGTTCCCACTCAGTTAAGTTGGTGCGGCATCATTGGCTGCAGGCTGGGGTGGTGTGGGTAGGCCCAGTTGGAATGGTAGATGGACTCCTTAGTGGAGTTTTTTTGTTGTTTGTTTTTTGGGGGGATTGTTTTTTCATCTTCAACACTTTGAACCACGAGAAGAATGTCACACCACTAAGCTTTAAGGTGTAGGGAGCTTTTTCCCACATGCATGCTGCCCCCTGGTGATTGCATTTAATTTTTATTTGTCTATTTTTTGCATTTGGCAACTGATTGCAAGTTGTTGCAGCAGCCAGCTGGTTGCCCAGAGATGCATGTGTGCAACACTTTCAACCTCTGGGCGACCACTTTCCATCACTAGGCACAGACCAGCTGATTGGAGCCAACCTATTTACAAATTAATCACGGTTCATATCAGACTGACTGCAACCACACTCAAGCAGATTGGAGGTTTATATAATTGCCAATTAATTTCTAAACATGGAGAGATTGCCAACAACTGTGGG